AATCAATAAATTATTCAAACTTTCAATTCACTTTTTGCATTTAAAGAAACATATAATATAGTTATTAGTTGTTCAAGGACGATGATTTTATAATTGGCCCACTTACATACATACCACACTATTCTTATGTATTTAGATAACTTACCTCTAAACTATCATACATACATATATATATATATATATATATATATTCAAATACATGACATTCAAAGTTTCAACATCACATCAAAAATATCAATTTATTTAGTTCTTAAAAATGAAATATATAGTTTCATATGTGAGGTTATAATATCAAATTGTTAAAGAAACTTCCTTTGAGGGATTGAATATCATCAAAAAAAATATATGTTGCGACCAACTAATATTAACCTTCAGTGTCGTCTATCCTCAATTGGTTTGATTGTTTGATACAAAGATTAGTCATTATAAATTTATGCTTGATTGATGCTATTAATCACTATCACTCAATTTTTTTTATATAGTTTTGATGGATGTTAACAACCACCGACACCCATATTTAAAAATATGTTGCTAAATAACATCAAAATCATTATCATCCATTCATATTATATAATATGTAAGTAATCAACTAACATCAAAATTATAAGTGTCCATTTTCTTTCACTCGGTATCATTGTCCTGTACTCACATTCCATATTCTTTCACTTGCAATGATGGTAGATAATATAAAACTACAATTTTATAGTCTTTTTTTTCTTTTTCATTGAGTGGACAACGATGGAATTTGAGTACAAGGTGGCAACAAATGCATGATAATAATTTTCTTTCACTCGCAATCAACTATCAACAAATTGTTTATCGTACACACATCCCATCATTGTCTTTTATAATGAACAATTTGTTGATCTACAATTTTCTCTCATTTTTTTGTCATCTCTATCAAATTTCACCCTTTCATTCTAAATAACCTATTCAAAAAACCTACAAAAAAAATAATAAAACACATGTTGATATGTCATTTGGTCATGCTTCTTATGTTTATAGATCCATATATTTGCTAATAGTTTTTTACTCTTCTCATTCTTATCTCCGATTAACTTCTTATCCTTGATAACTTTTGAGTATATCCAATATGATCATATACATTAATAAGATTTTTTTAGGGATACATCATAAACATTACCAAACCTTACAGGCTTTGGGGGCTCATTGTCGAAGTGGTCGAACTGAGCTTGCATGCTAAAGTGATCGAGCTAAGGCAACTTGCCAAAGTTGTCAAGCTAAGCCCACTTGCTAAAGTGGTTGAGCTGAGCCTTCTTGTCAAAGTGGCCAAGCTGAACCCGTCTGCCAAAGTGATCAAGTTGAGCTCTCCTGTCAAGGTGGCGAAATTGAGCCCATCTACCAAAGTGACAGAATTGAGCCCAACTGTTAAACTTGTCAAGCTAAACAAGGATGGATCACCAAAGAATACCATCATGACATAAAAGCACATACTTCAACCCTTATTTATGCACTTTCTGACACTTGCATCATAATCTTTTTACTATGACATCGTGGACAAATGCAATACCGTACTTAATTTAATTTTTTTTTTTCTTAAGAATTAAAGATCTGCTTTTCAGGACCTCAAAAAAGATGGGAGTGAGTGGGGCTCTCTAGAGATCTGCTTTTTCAGAACCTCAAAAAAGATTTTACCATCTCTATATCCCTCTCTCTTTGCAAGAGATGCAAAGATCATTCTTTCGAATCATTTTTTGCCGCCCGAGAATCCTGGGAAAATACATAATTAAAAACACAAGCCCCAACAAGATATTCAACACCTTCTTTTATACCTTCCTTATGAATATAGGGTTTTTATCAGATTATATGAACTCACGAATAATATAGGATCCTACGTTCTAAAAAGACTCAACTATTACAAACACAATTAAACTGAGACAGAAATATGATATAATACGAACAAGTATAAAGTATGTTTCTTATTTATCCATTGACAATTTTTAAATAGAACATATTGATGACTTGTTAGACAAGTATAAAGTATGTATCGTATTCTACATATATCAGAGCTTACATATTTTTGACATTGTAAATTATCGGTACATAAGAAAAAGAATAGGGCATTTATCATTCACATTTTTGCCAATAGCTTTCATTTTTTATTTATAAATACATTGGATGGAATTATAAATATTTTTCATGGAATAATTTTAAATTTTTTAATAAATGAAATTTTGAGATGAATAATTTGAAATCTACCTAAAAATAGCTCTTATTTATGGATATCTCCGTATGTAAGAGGCCTAAATCAGCAGATGGGACTATTCTCTGCACGCTATTTAAAGCATTAAAGAAATGCAGGACATACGATTGAATCATACATTTCAATAAAATATTCTGTACTTTCAATTCAATTTTTGCACTTAAAAAAACATTAAATATAGTTATTAAATGCTCGAGGACTAAATAGTGTGATTTTATAATTGAACGTTTGCATGCATACCACACAATTCTTATGTATTTACATGCTGACACTCAATATCACATCAAAAATATATCTTTTACTAGGTTTTGAAAGGCGAAATATATATTTTCAAGCGTAGTGTCGCGGACAAAAAGTCTCACATCGGCTAGGTGTAGGGCCTAAGAGCAGTATTTAATTCTTGGGCTGCTCACCACCCCTAAGAGCTCTTTTGGGAGGTGACAAGTGGTATCAGATTATATTACTGTCTGTCAGGTGTGTGGACTCTCCATGGTCCAGTGGGACCCTCGGTGGAGCCGATCCGTGACGAGGACGTCACGTGATTGGGTGGAGGAGAATGTCACGGACAAAAAACAGTATTTAATTCTTGGGCCGCCCACCACCCCTAAGAGCTCTTTTGGGAGGTGACAAGTGGTATCAGATTAGATTACTGTCTGCCAGGGGTGTGGCCTTTGCGACTCTCCATGGTCCAGTGGGACCCTCGGTGGAGCCGATCCGTGACGAGGACGTCACGTGATTGGGTGGAGGAGAATGTCACGGACAAAAAACAGTATTTAATTCTTGGGCCGCCCACCACCCCTAAGAGCTCTTTTGGGAGGTGACAAGTGGTATCATATCAGATTACTGTCTGCCAGGTGTGTGGACTCTCCATGGTCCAGTGGGACCCTCGGTAGAGCCGATCCGTGACGAGGGCGTCATCTGATTGGGTGGAGGAGAATGTCACGGACAAAAAGTCCCACATCGGCTAGGTGTAGGACCGAAAAATAATATTTAATTCTTGAGCTGCCCATCACCCCTAAGAGCTCTTTTGGGAGGTGACAGTAGACTCATGAAATAAAATGAATAGAAACTTTTCATTGGAACTTTGAGGGATTAAATATGATAAAAAATGAAAAACTTAATGAAAGGAAACCTACAACCCTGAGTATGGTCTATTCTTCTATCACTATTGTATTAAGATGTTTATAAAATATCAAATAGTTAAAGGACTTTTATAAATGGTTAAATGGGATGTTAATATTTTCTTACATAAATGATTAAAATATCCTTCATAAATATATAACATTATGTCATGTTTACACACATTCGAGAAAAGACGCCCCTCACTGGAGTGAAATTTAAAAACTAAAAAACTTTTAAGTGATTTAATCTTTATTTAAAACACTTATTAATCATCTATGTAGTTTTGTTAGTTTGCTCTATGTTTCATGGTAGATCAATCTTCCCTTTAATTAAAGAGACATTCATTGCAAACTTCCTCAGTATATTTAGCTTTTATGTTATCTACCATCATTACGATCAACTAATATTAATCTCTAGTATCACCTATCCTCAATTGGATTGATTGAGTGATATAAATATCAGTCATCACATGTTCATTATTGGTTGATGTTGTCAATTATCACTCAAAAATTTTTTTATATAATTCTAACTAATGTTAATAACTATCAACACTCATATTTCAATATATGTCGTTGACTAACAAAAAAAAAATCATTAATCATCTGGATGCAATCAAACTAACATAAAAAATATAAGCCTCCATTCTCTTTCACTAGCAATCAATTGACATATATTTTATTTCACTATTTGCTTGTAGAAGATATTCTTTCTACTTCAAATCTTGTAAAGTAGCCATTCCAATCATGTGGAAGGTAATATTCTTATACTAATTAACATATATAATGAAACTATTTCATCAATATTATGTCCCATAGTTTTTTTTTTTCTTTTTTGAGTTTACCATGCAAGAAAATATTGTATCTTATCAATGATATTGCTCATTTGGTTGTGTCTGTGAATTTTTTTTCAAAGTTGAGAGAATTAATTCTCCCTCTTTAACCATGAATGTACTAAGGTTCAATAATTCATGCCATTATTTATTTTTATTATCCCTTATTATAAATGCATTTTAATATATTTTACTCTATTCATATAATTGTTGTCACCTTGTACTCACATTCCATCATTGTTTTGTATGATAAGCATTTTGTTGATCTACAATTTTCTCTCATTTTTCTATCATCTCCATAAAACTTATCTATTTCATTTTAATAAACCAACTCCAAAGTACCTGCAAAAAAATAAATAAATAACATGTTGATATGTCCTTTGCTCCTGCTTCTTATGTTTATAGATCCATAGCTTTGCTAATATTTTTTTAATCTTCTCATTCTTACCGCGAATTAACTTCTTAACCTTGATATCTTTAGTCTATGATGAAATGATATGATATACCCAATATGGTCATATTTTTTTAATACTCTTTCTCTCTCTCTCTCTTTCTCTCTCTATATGACAGAACCAGAGATCTTAAGTTTAAACCATTCCTAATCACCTGGGGATCCTGAAAAAATAAAAAAAAAATCAAAATGAGAAACGCAAGCTCTAATAGGACATACATCACCTTCCTTTACATATTCCTTATGAAATAGGATATTTTTTGAGTTGTATGGACTCACAAACAATGCCAAGTCCTTAAATGATTCATCCCATGCAAACAAAATTAAATATATGTATTATTATTTATTTAGATGTATTGACCTACCAATGGCCATGGAATGAGGAACCCAATTGAGCTTAATAGTCTTATTCCCACTCTACCCTTATCCCGTTTTGCCCCTAAGAAAACCTTCTCCTCTTCGCCAACCACCACCGCCGCCGGAACCCTAGCAGCCCACTTCGCCCGCGCAGTCGACCGCACCTCCGTCTCATCATGGAACTCCGCAATGGCCGAGCTCGCGCGCGATGGAGACTCCATTTCCGCCCTCCGTGCTTTCTCCTCCCTACGCCGCCTCCACCTCACCCCCGACCGCTCCTCCTTCCCGCCGGCTCTCACTGCCGCTGCCGACCTCGAAGCAAATTCGGCCGGTCGCCAGCTTCACCTCCTTGCAGTCCGCCTAGGTCTCCATCCTGACCTCTTCGTTGCCTCCTCCCTCGTCCACATGTACGCAAAGTGCCGCCATCCCAACGACGCCCGCAAGGTGTTTGACGAATCTCCCAACCCGAACACTGTCCTTTGGACCGCCATGATCTCCGGCTACGTGAGCAACAATGCCTCCCAGAATGCCCTATCGATGTTTCGTGATTTCTTGGCCGAGGAGGGACCGGAGGAAGTGGACTCCGCCGCCGCAGTCTCTGTTTTGTCGGCTTGCGCGAGGCTTTCTGAGAAATTAGCGGTTTTGGGATTTCACGGTTTGGTTCTGAAGATTGGCTTGGGAGATGTGGGAGTATGGAACACTTTGGTGGATGCTTATGCGAAGAGTTGTAATCTGGGATTTGCAAGGAAGGTGTTTGATGATATGACTGACAGGGATGTGGTTTCATGGAATTCGATGATTGCTGTTTATGCTCAGAACGGATTATCTGCAGAGGCTCTGAATTTGTACTCAGATATGGTGAGGGGAGGGAGAGTGAGGCACAATGCGGTGACTTTGTCGGCGGTGCTTCTGGCTTGTGCCCATGCAGGTGCTCTGCAGATTGGGAAGTTCATCCATGATCAGGTATGCTTCTTGTGAATTTCTTTCTGTTATATCTACTATCTTCAGATAAGAAGATTTGCATACATACCATTTAATTCATATCTATTTACAAATGTGATTCCTAAACTTTATTTTTTACATATATGCTACTTTACATAAGCATGAAAATGTGTCTTTCACTTTTTAGAAGCCAAAATGGTGGTATTCTTGATGTGGTATAAATGATTTGGGTGGTATAAATGTGATAAGTGAAGTTTAGGTGTTAGATATGTAAATACATTATAATTGGGAGGTATGCACTTAAATGCTTGGTTGGTTTGAATGATTTGATTCATGAAATAGCTAGACCATTTATGTATTGATTTTGAATGAGTCAAAATATAGTATTGACAATGAAGTTAGATATCTTGGACTTAAATGATCCTCCAAACCAACCAAAAACAAAGAATGTCAAAATTGCAACCAATAATCGACTGGAACTTAAACAATCAAACCAAAACAGCCAAAAACAATTGGGATATATGTTTGGCATTAGAAGTTATGCTTGATTATATAAGGATCTCCACATTCCCAAAACTGTAATTTTCTTGTTCTCATTACTTTCTTTTTAGCATCAAACTTGTATAAGATTGCTCCAAACTTTTCAAAGAACTTGAATCTTTCTTCCACAAATATTGATTCTCCTCCTACTGGTGATAAAGCAGTCCTCTGTTTCTGTATAACTTAACGAGGTTACTGACTCATTTCCAAACTTGATTCAGGTGATTAGGATGGGCTTAGAGGACAATGTGTACGTGGGCACATCAGTGGTCGACATGTACTGCAAGTGTGGCCGTGTTGATGCTGCAAGAAGAGCATTCAACCGATTGGGCAGCGAAAAGAATATCAAGTCATGGTCAGCCATGGTTGCTGGATACGGCATGCACGGTCATGGCCGTGAAGCTGTAAATGTCTTCAATGAGATGATCTCCTCTGGTATCAAGCCAAACCAGATCACCTTCGTCTCAGTTCTCGCTTCCTGCAGCCATGCCGGCCTCGTTGACGAAGGCCGCCATTGGTTCGAATCAATGAAAAGGGATTACAATGTTGAACCCAGCGTCGAGCACTATGGCTGCATAGTAGATCTTCTTGGCCGCGCCGGTCGTTTGGATGAAGCCTACGGCCTGATCAAACAGATGAAGGTGAAGCCTGACTGTGTGGTCTGGGGAGCTCTCCTCAGTTCATGCAAGACTCATAAGAATGTCGAGCTCGGCGAAATATCGGCACATATGTTATTCAAACTCGACCCGAGAAATTGTGGGTATTATGTTCTTCTGTCGAATATTTACGCTGATGCGGGAAGATGGAGAGATGTGCAGAGGATGAGGGCTCTGATGAAGAAAATGGGGTTGGTGAAGCCTCCTGGATACAGCTTGGTTGAGCTAAAGGGGACTGTTCAGTGTTTCTTAGTAGGTGACAGGAGGCATCCAAGGCATGAAGAGATCTATAAGTACTTGGAGGAGCTGAGGGGTAGAATGATGGAAGTTGGTTATCTTCCAGATACTGCTTCAGTTTTGCATGATGTGGATGAGGAGGAGAAGGAGACTGCTTTGAAGGTGCATAGTGAGAAGTTGGCGGTGGCGTTCGCGATCATCAGCACTCCGCCGGGGACGATGATTAGAGTTATTAAGAATTTGAGAGTGTGTGGTGACTGTCACTCAGCGATTAAGTTGATCGCGAAGATTGTTGGTAGGGAGATTGTTGTCAGAGATTCACATCGCTTTCATCATTTTAGAGATGGGGTGTGCTCTTGTGGTGATTATTGGTAAGTGTGGAAATGTTTGTTTTTTATTAATGGAGTTTTATTGTCAAAATAGTTCTTTGACTCTTTGCACTGAACCAGTAGTTACTCGAGTGTCAGAGTACATAAAAGTGTTAATTTAGTCAATTTAGTCTCTAAACTTATTTAATATGGACTGACATAGTTTGAAACTCTATAAAGGAAGATGGTTTCAGCCCCGATTAAAGAAATTTGAGACTAATTTGGTACTTTTATAGACTCTAGGATAAAAATGGCTCTATGTAAATAGTAAGGAGATTATTTTAGCAATTTACTTATCAGCACAATTGTTTAGAACAACAATGTTGCTTAGGATTGAATCTGCATACAAACAGGCCTTCAGGTCATTTTGACAAAAAGGTAAATATGCGGCTCAGTTTTGTGGAGAATAATGTTTTACTATAGCTGAATTATTATTTATTTTATTTTATTTTATTTGAGAAGAGCAAACTTGAGTAGCATTGTAATTTTTATGTAATAGTCATTGCTGTAAGTTAATATAATTGAACATACACAATGGAAGGTAGAGAATTTTTTTTTTATTGTTTGGAAGAAAGTTAGCATTAGCTTGTCTTTTTGTATTTCACTGAAACTTCTCAGTAAAAATTGTGCAGTTTTTTTAGCTTATAACTAAAATTTATTCTCTGGAAGAAATGTTTGGTAGATGCTTGAATGAATAATTATTCTTTTCTTGTTCCTTGATATGCTGATATGCTTTGAGGGAATCCTACATTTTGATGCCATATTTTATATAAAACGTTTGATTTGATGTTCCTTGGTCGGGGCCTCTTGTCCCACCCGGTGCATGTCCAAATCACACCGACCCACGCTAACAATAATGTTCTTAAGGCTCACTTACCCAAAAAATAAAATGAATTGTAAATTAAAAAAAAAACATTGATTCTGTAGCTGTCCTCTAAGACATTGTTTAATCAAGAGATGATTAAATCAAACGATAATAGCACTCTATATAATATTTATAGATGTCTCATAAAGTGATATTCGAGTTTAGCATGATTTTTGGGTTTGAGTTTGGCTTATATGTATAATACTTTGTATAATATTCATAAGTTGCAAAATTTTCAATTGATGATCATCCATCGCAATCATCCATCGCAAATTACATAAAATATTACCTATAAAAATATCATTACATGTCTCTAAAATTTGTATTTATTAAATGAAGGTCTTAAAAAGGATAGCTGTGGGGAGAGAGTATTCTATGCAAGCTTTCCTTTGAAGTTAAAAAGGTAAATTTACATGCATATCACACAATTCTTGTGTATTTATGTATCTAGCATCCAAAATTTATAATTTATACTTATAATGTCTTGGTGTCATAAAACCATACATGGAAAAGTATATTTAGCCTTTAAATAGACTATTATTGTGGTATTTTTGATGTGATGCTAAGGATTTGAGCGACATACATGTAAATATTTAGGTGTTAGACATGTAATTATGTAAATGTGTGGTATGGATATAAATGCCCTTTTTTACCTTTTTCTTAATAATGAAGCCTTAAAGTTTTGTTCAAACTGCTGCATTTTTGGAACTAATAGAACTTGAACATGAGCTCTGCTTAATCTTAGCCATCCCACAGTAGTAGCCACACATACTGATTTAAAAGCAATGAAAGAGATTGCCAACCAAACTAATAATCATTTCATAAAAGCACTCATTTTACAGCTTTGGCCAATATATTTTTTATGTAATTACTTAAAATAATTTTTCTTGTACCAAGTGACAAATAGTATGAGGAAATAAGGATTTTTGTTTTGAAAATCCGTTTGGATCTGATACTCTAATAATATATTTAAATTAGGTTTAGCTTAAATCATATCAGATAGAAAATATCAGCTTTAAAATCATGAAATTAGTAAGCCTAGTTTCTTTTCAATTTCTTTTCAGCTTTGCCTTAAATCCCTGATTTATTAAATCTTGCTGTTGGCAGGATTTAGTAAATCCAAATTTACAAAACTTACTATATCCATTACCAAACAATCCCTTAAACTTCCAACGATCATGGCTGCTGTGCTTGAACCCTTCATCAAAGAACCAAAATTGAACTGTCAATTAAAGGAATCATGAAAATCTATCAGCACGAAGATCGAAGTATGCTTGAGGGTCGATCGTTGATGGGAGATCAAATATTTCAAGGCCTGGGCTTCGTAAGATCATCAGAGACAAAAAGGAGCTAGCCTGAGATAAAGCTCATGGGGAAAGAGTTATAACTGCAAACTCCAGAAGAGGTACGACATGGGTGAATTCCCTGAAGGCATGGGACCAAGAAATAAAGCTCCCTGTCTCAATAATAGAGAAGCAGAAAATAAAATTGATACAGCTTTGTTCCCTTGATAGTCTTTTCAGCAGCATGGGAGAAACTACTGGGCCTTTGCTAGACTGCCATTAAATGGCTGGAAAAATGCTGGAAAAGCAAAGGCCTGTACCATGGTATCTCACAGACTTTTTCATGGCCCATTTATGTGGTGGTTGGGATGTCAAAATCCAGTATCAATCACTAATGTATCATGTTAAATATGGCCCACCTTTGTACCATCACCAAACTGACCTCATCTTTGAACTCCTTTTTCTTCCACTCATTATGCTTGATGGAACATTAGGGAATGCTGATTTGTAGTATGAATAGTGGGACTTGGATGACAAAGTAACTAGAGTTAAGGAGGACGAATAGCAACATCAGCAAGAAGAATGGCCACGGCTTTGTCTCAATTATTTGGGGTCAGTTTTATGAATTTTTCCTTCATTTTTTTATTGGTGTTAAGGTGCTGAAATTAGCTTTGGGAATTATGAGTTTCTCCAAATTCAAAGAGGTCATTAGACAACCAGATAAAAAAAGTTGGGGCATTTTACATAGCACATTACTTTTATGTATTTACGTATCTCGCTCCTAAACTCTTATATTTATACTTAATATCACATCAAAAGTAGTACTATTATCACGTTATAAAAGTGAAATACAACTTTTCATGCATAGGTTTAAAACACCAAAGAATTATATATGTAAACGTATGTATTATAAGATTTTTACTAAAATCTGCAAACACTCTATCATAATTCTTCATGCATTTAAATTCTTTACATCATAATTAAACAATTTTAGACTTGTTGAATTATTATAATTGAGATGCTCATCTTTTACTCTAAGAACATAAAATTTGAAGTTCTTATGGTCCATTAAATAGTATCATGAAATTTTCATTCGCATGTCGAATACTTCATTTTGAATCATGTGAACTGAGATAAATGCACTTGTTGTGTCTTTTATGTTTCTCTTTGAAACTTTTTGTTTCATCTACAAATTCACTGGAAATATAGTTAGGATGATCATTAAGTCGATTCTAAAACTTTCTAATTTATATGTTTAAATCAAGATTAAATGATCGATTTGTAGATTTTATGACGACGGTGAATCAATAATAGAGTATAAATGTTGAATTCTTCTTTGCTTAAAAGCTTCAGGCACTAGCACTCCCCCATTTTCTCATCTGGCCATGTGAGGTGTGTCACTTTCACATGATCAAGTTGCATGAATTTCTTCATGTCCCCCACAACCTAGTAAACCCTACTAAAGAACAAACTTAGAAGGGCTAATCTTTTCCAAGTGGCAAACACAACCTTCAAAAGGGCAGATATGCAAAGTGAAAAGAAACTTTAATTATTTAACCTTAACTGCACCCAATGCTGCACTCCTTTGGGCATCTTTCCTTTGATAAGAAATAATGAAAAAAGGACCCTTGCTTATAAGGAATATTTAGATGCATACTTCTCAATTCTTATATATTAGCATATCTGACACCCAAACTTCAATTTTTACATATATATGACTCATCACCAATACATAACAGTGGTATTTTTTATGTGATATGAAAGCTTTCCGTGGTATAAATACAAAAAAAAAAAAAAAAAAAAGTTTTGGAGTTATATATGTAAATACATAAGAATTGGGTGGTAGTATGTAAAAGCACCTAGATATAAGAGAGAGAGAGAGGGAGACTGTCGGAAGAATGCAATTCTCTCTGTAATCCTGCATTATTTTTTCCTCTTTTGTTCCTCAGCAAGATTCTGAAGAGCTGAGAGATGAAGTTCCTGTTTCAGTGCCCATGCTGTTCTTGCTTCTGCTTCTTGAAGACCAAACAAAGCAAGCCAAAGGAGAAGGAAGCCAAAAAAGACTGAGAATTCTCCATCTTCAATTGATTTCTGTAAAGCTGTTCATATTTTTGTTCCAATCTGTCCTAAATCAGTATTCAGAAACTGTCAGAAAATGGTCTGAGCTCTACTTTCCTGCTTAGATCTTTCTTCTTAATAATATTTTGGTTTCTAATCGATTTACTATGAATTTTTTTCTGATTTTTTTGTTGATTTTGTTGGATTACTATTTTCTGCCATTGTTATTGCTCTGAAGCTCTGATGCTAAGCCTTGGATAATCGTTTTTTTTCCTTATTTCTTTAAAATTCGCAAAATTTTTTGTTTTGATGATGAAACATGAAATTCACTCTGTTTATTTTCTTACATACCTTTGCAATTACTATTTTGCAAATTATATATTTATAAGGACTATATGTTGGTCAATGTAATATATGCAAATTTTCATTTATTTGTGTGTAGTGGAGTGGTTGTGGGACTTTGCTCCCACTAACAACCAAGGGGCTGGGAACTTTTTTTTTTTTTTATTTTCTTATATGCAAACAACCCAATACTTATTTATTTACAAATTTAACACCTAAATTTTACTTTCTATATTTATACCCCCCAAATTTTGCACATCACAAAAAAAAATATTATGAATTGGGTTTCAATTAAAAAAAAAAAATTGTATGAGTATAGCAAATTTAAGATTTTGCAAAAACTGAAAATTTATGAGGGATTAATGTATAATTGCACCAAAAAATTAAGTTAAAACAATAGTGAATTATATATTTTCATTCATTTGTAATGCGACATATATGTAAAAAAAATTTAACTTTAGATGGTATATATGTAAAAAATATAAAAATTGAGTGTTGTGTTTGTAAATCTTCCTAAAATAAATTTTGATAGTTTTTATACACTGAATGGTTGGATAAAGCTTAACCATGAAGTGGGCATATTTTTGGCTCTCAATTATTTTGTAAATGGAAAATGTATTGTTAAGCTATTGTGTGATAAACCATAAAAAATTTCTTATTTAATAAATTTTATATAAATTTATTAATACATTATTTCATTCTAGAGGAAGAATCGTCCTAAATCTAGGAATCAAGCAAGTAAGGGGTACAATTGGAACTTTGATCAACCTCCGAGTTTGAGCATTTTGGGGAAGCGACCGTAGACGGATGTTTTGGTTCTCGAAAGAGGAAAACTTGACACTCAGAAAATAACCCATAGAGGCTTTATGTTTTCTCAAGATGTAACAATAACAATTAGATCAAGATAGAAAATAATATGACTCGCATCTAATCTGAAGGCTAGTCAGAAGATCATATTAAGGTAGAAGCCACATGGATTCGCATCTAACGAAGAGCCGAGCAAGTTGGATAAATTTAAAAGGCATTGAGACCCTTTTTATGTCGTGTGGGAGCAGTTCTTGACTCATCGGAACCCATGCAATAGCCCGACTCCCACAACATGATCCGACCCGATTGAACCACGCCTGCTCTATTCAAACTGCTTCACCAACCAAGCCCACTCAACTACCCACAACAACACTAGCAACTCACAGTTGTATGCTTATGCGTTGTAATAAAGCTTTTGTCTTAAAAGACAATACTTAATAGTATTCATGTGTTCAGATAGAAAATTGAAGCAAATTGGTCGTGGCTAAAAGGGTGGGTTTTTGAGTAATACTGCTATGTTTGTAGGACAAAGTAATCATAAGTGATGTTGATGTGTTAATATTATTGCACAGTTGAATGAAAGTGGTTGATTTGAGGTTTTGATGATAACAAAATGGTCAAGATGATCAAATATACATATAAAATAAAGAAATATTGACTAATAATTAAAATTTGACGCGCCATAAGTCAAGCTTTGATGATTCAGATGATGAAGGCCTTGATCTTCAAGAGTTCGATGATGAGTCTCAATTACTCAATTTTAAGATCAAAATAAATTATCAATTGATACACGCTTTCATGATTACACGACATTCATGTAAGTTATTAAAAAAGAGGTAATAAAAAATAGCTTATAGAACCAAAATCACAACTACTTGTTCATATTGAGGATGTCATGTCGAATAAGATTGTTACTTTGTGCAAATGTTTAGACTTTTAGAGAGATGAAAGTTAATGTAAGTCATCCAGTTGTTTGGTTAAGAGCTTATCCTTTCAACCAAGAAGCTCTAGTTTCAAGTCCTTATATTTGCAATGTGCATGTATTTACGAATAAATTTGCTAAGATTTCCAAAAAAAAAAACTAAAAAAAGTCAAAAAAAAAAAATCATTTTGAGTTCTAGCGCATCTATAGTATAAAGAAGCCTTGGCAGATCTAGCATTTCAAAAATATTGTAAGACTATTGCTAAGAATTTCGCTCTCTCTCTCTCTCTCTCTCTCTCTCTCTCTCTCTCTCTCTCTCTCTCTCTCTCTCTCTCTCTCTCTCCCGAAGATAACTGCTTACAAGCGTTGTATTCAAAATATTATAATTTTCTCATAACTCAAGAATTTTTTTGTGAGTTATATGCTGACAAACAATGCATTTGGTTTGGAGTTGTAACTCTACTCTCCCAATTGTGAGAAAATAAAGCATTCTCTATAATTAAACTCTTATAGTTAAATAATTTGTGTGGGCTAAGTCCCCTGTTTTTTTCTTTTTAGGGCCTTTTTCACGTAAAAAATCTTAGGTGTCTTCTCTTGCTACTTTCAAATTATATGTGTGTGTGTCTGTTTTGGATTATAATACAATGCTAAGATGTTAAATTATCACTCCACCACTGTGAATCTTCTGACATACAAGTCTTGGATTTTGAGTTATACTACTATGTTTGTGTGACAAAGTAATCAGAAGTGATGTTAATATATTAATATTATTGCACTATTGAATGTTCATGGTTGATATGAGGTTAGGATAATAACAAAATGGTCAAAATGATCAAACATACATATAAGATAAGGAAATATTGGCTAATAATCAAAATTTGATGTGTCATTATTCAAGCTTTGATGATTCAGATGATGAAGACTTTGATCTTCAAGTGTTTGATGATGGATCTCAATTACTCAATTTCAAGATCAAAATAAATTATCAGTTGATACATATTTTCATGATTATAAGACATTCATATAAGTTCTTAAACAAAAGGTAATGAAAAATAACTTATAGACCCAAAATCACAACTACTTGTTCATATTGAGGATGCTCATGCTTAAGAAGAGTGTCACTTTGTGCAAATAGTCAGACCCATAAAGACAGAAGCTTAGAAGCAACACATTTATGCCTTTGGATCAATAGTGCTCACAACAAGCAAACCACAACTACATGAGTCTACTGATTAAATTCAATATATTGTAAGTAACCAAATATCCCTCCAAAATACATAAATAAATAAATAATAACTAAGAGATTATATATGATCGATTGCTACTACACAAGAAATTACAAATGAAAAAAATTTATGGATCAATATATGAGAATTACATGTGGGTGTCTATATCGAGAGCAAAACTAATCAACATAAATCCTGGCTCCCATATTACATATATTTGCAATAGACACTATTTTTCTTTCAACAAATTTTTTTTTAGTTATATAATTTTGAATTGGTAAATTATATACATCTTGTTGAACTTAATACTTGTCATTCGAAATCTAAATATATTGCTGTGTTGCTTTCCACGAACTCTTTAGATTGTATTAATGATCTTTTTATATTTGTTTTTCTATTCACTAAATCTGAATTGAAGAAAACATGATTATGATTTTGTAAGAAGACAGCTGAGTAAATTGGTTCTAACTCATTGCACCTAGTTTTTATATATTTTTTAGTTGAAATTTAAAATATTAGAATACTAATGACATGTTAGAGTCATTAATATCATGGATTGGAGAAGAGGCAATTTTAGTAAAGCTTATGGAGTTCCACCTTAGCCGCAAGACACTTTTGTTGAACCAAACATAACAAGGATAGAAGCTCTTCACTAGTTTGCATGTGCCAAAAGCTCCAAGTGAGAAATTCTGTTTTCTGTTAGTCTGTTGGGTTTCTTGGTGTTAAATTGTATCTTATATATATATATATATATATATATATATATATTCAGTCTAATAGCCTTTCTCTTTTATGCCAAAAATAACTAATCTTTTATGATTTTCAACTAGCTTCAGGATTAATTCTGTCCATAAATTAACATGTAGTACCTCCAGAAACAATGCTTAAAAAATTAAGCTTTATTTGATTGAATTAATTTACTTGATGTAAATCAACACATTTGGATTGGTTTATTTCTTTCACATATACAAGCATAAGTTTGTTTTGAGGATCTCTTTGGCAATGGAGGCAACACATGTCATATCATTAGATTATCATTGATAACTTTGAGTCAATATATAACCAACTCAATCTCAAAATGATGAACTCAGAATAACAACCTCCTATGCCATTTGAATGCCTCAACATATGATTATGTACGCACAAAAATGTGCAAGCACGAATCTTAAAGCAGATAGACAGCTCAGAAAGGAGGTGCGCACAATCAGCCGAAGAGCTACCAACTATCGTTTTCAGATGAGTATTGGTGAAGGAAGTACCTTATTAGAACGATCAATAGAAGACACCCAGAGAAATTTCCGTAGGGTGGTAATCAGCTTTTAGAACGATCGATGGGAAGCACTCTTTTAGATCATATATCGATCGAACCAAGGATTGTCAGGCGATCGATAACTTTTATCAATCAAATCAACCCGGTATAAATACAAA